GGTAAATGCCATCAGTTATATAGTTGTGGAATGCTTTGTAACACACAGCTTAGTCTTTCACGGCTGGGTGACCACTTTAACTTAGAAATATAACACACTACACAGATTATAGGCAGATTGGGTGGGTAAGTTGGAAACTTGGGTATTTAGGCAGCTCTCCATGGGCATATGCATTTCGACAACTTCTTCATTGTCAACCTGAATATGATATGAACATGCACAAAATTCTGATCTGAATCAGTAATGAGGTGAGCTACTAAGTGCCTTAGCTGATAATGGGAACAAAACCCCAACCTAACCTATAAATCTGAAAATTAGTGTGTCCCTTTTTTCAGCAATGATCAACAAGCCTTGTTTTAAAATGCGATCGCTTTGCTTTATAAAAGTTAAACCTGTATAAACCCAGGAATTAGATGGTGATTTCTAGGAAGCGCTGCTGACTCTTTACTACCTGTACTTACGGGTTACTGTTTCGGTGTGTTTTAATGCCATTTGACGCACAAGGTATTCATTCTGTTTTGAAACTCTCTTGAGTAGTATTTCTTGCATACATAGTATTTGTTACCTGATTAATTATTTACTTTTACAATGAGTTCTAAGTCAGTAACCCGAAGCGGCTCTTGCTGTGTAGTTTAACTAACATTTGAAATAAAGAAGCGTCATAAAACACTTATTATCTTGTCAAGAACATACCAACTTCGAAATTTAAACTAAAATATTTATTTTTAAAATAAACTTAATCTCGCAGCTTGAACAATATGCTGACTCTAATGTATGATGAAGCAAGGCTTGCAATAAGAACAAACAGTAATAAACAAGTATAAAAAAGCCAAATCCGAATTGCAAAAAAAAAAAAAAGCAAATTCTTTTTAAATGTAGTAACCATGTCATCTTTTTAACAATATATCTATAAATAATTACAATAAATTTTCACCTTAAACTCACTAAATATTTTATGAAATATAGTGGATTGAGCCCAGAAATTGCATAATTTCTTTTGTTGAAAACAAATTTATCAGTTTGAAAACATAGCCTCGCAGAATAGTAAGCAGCTGTAAACTGCAACCATGTCATCTTTTTAACAATATATCTATAAATAATTACAATAAATTTTCACTTTAAACTCACTAAATATTTTATGAAATATAGTGGATTGAGCCCAGAAATTACGTAAATTCTTTTGTTGAAAAGAAATTTATCGGTTTGAAAACATAGCCTCACAGAATAGTAAGCAGCTGTTAACTGCAACCATGTCATCTTTTTAACAATATATCTATAAATAATTACAATAAATTTTCACTTTAAACTCACTAAATATCGTATGATATATAGTGGATTGAGCCCAGAAATTACACAATTTCTTTTGTTGAAAACAAATTTATCGGTTTGAAAACATAGCCTCACAGAATAGTAAGCAGCTGTAAACTTTCTACCCAAAAATTGAGCAGGTCAAGAGCTCGAGCTTGTTGTTTACATTTATATTGAAAACACCATTCATTAGGAAAGCTTAGTTTACTTTAACAAGATATAAATTTTGAGACCAACTAAAGGGTCATTAGAAAATTGAAAAACTAAACAGAATCTTCAGAGGAAGGCATTGGCCCACATTGAGCTGTCTGGCCAACTATGTTGATGATGATGAAATAAATTCGATGCTCTATATTTACAGTCTTAAATTGGAAAAATGTAATGCTTTTTGAATGCCACAGCTTACTTTTTCACCATGTTCTTTAATTACTTCCTTTTAGTAATCATTAATAAGCTTATTACAATTATTTAATCTCTTTTACTCATGACTTTATGGTAAAATAATTATAAGAAATTATATTTAAATTTCACAATGATACAATAAATTTTGCCTCGTAACTTGTTCTATCTCAAAATTTCTTTTTGCTATCACTTTACAGGGCTTAGAGTAATTTCATTCATATCAATCAGGGGGAAAGAAGATCAAAATTGTTTAAGAAAAAAGGTTTAAACAAATATAGGTAAAAAGTATTCATATACACTTAAAAAATACAGCCTAAATTTTTGATATTAAGTCATTTGAATATAAAATTTCTTAGTTTTTGAAGAGACATGGTTTCTGATGCCAATAGGAGCATGCTCTTTAAAGACTGTCAGTATTAATTTATGAAGCTTCAAACACATTTTTTAGATAAGCTGAAATGATGCTTAACAAATCAGTTGACCAAATTAAGTAAATTTTATTAGGTACAAATTAGGTGCTCTCATGTGATAATTCCTGACAATAGCTTTTTAGATGCAGTTTTTGAAATTAAAAACTAAGTACATTTTACATTAATAAAAGAAACCCACTTTTAAATTAATAACTTTAAATTATTATCTAATTTTACTGTTTTATTTTGAAAGCTAAAAAAGCTTTTAATGCACACACTAGAAAGATCTCATACAGAGAACTAGGTTATACATTTTTTAATAAAGGATACTTGTAAATAAAAAAGCATTCTGCAAAAAAAAAAAAAAAAAAAAATCATATTTATGTAATGAAAGAGAGAATTTGAATAAAACTATTATTAAGGAGAATTCTTAGCACTTTTAGCTCACATTACAGTGCAAGTTAAAGGAAATGGTATTTCTTCAATAGTATGATCTAAGTGACATTGACTAGGAAATTTATTAACCAAACGCTACATATTTACAGAACTATCACCAGACTTAGCAAGGACTTAAGCAAAATATTTTTTAGGGACACTGGAAACATAATTCACTTATTTTTGCTAAATTCTTGTCTTATTTAATCAAACTGATTATTTGATTTCGTCTTACAGATTTTATTCCTAAATATGGACAACTAAAGTATTTTTAATATTATTTTCAAATTTAAAGTATAATTTTTATCACTGATTAATGATAATTACATTAAAATGTTTCTATATTCATTAATTTTATGATATATATATATAATGAATAAAAATCTGGAGGTGGTCTCTAGATTTTTACTTAACACATCTAGCTTTTAAGAAACACATCTAGGTGTTTGTATCTATCATTACAGTAGTAAACATAGTTTTCAAGCTTTGAATAACTAAAATAAAATTGTAAAAAAAAATCTGGATATTACTGGTGTGGGACCTATTACAGGGTATGGTACGTATGGGATCTTAGGTGAATGCCCCGCTTGCCTAAGTCATACTGAAAGGCAGGAGAGAGACTGTGAATAGACCCAAAAGAGTTGAGGGCCCAGTTAACATTATAAAATAAGGTTTTCTTTTTTTTATATATATAAAAACTATTTTCAAAGTAAAAAGCCATCAAAAATTCTATGCAATATGAAAATAAGATTTTTAAGGTCTTAAAAAAAGGTTCCACAAAATCTGTGTCCAGCCTTGTCTAATCCTTAATGGCATATTCATAAAATTTAGTCTAAACAGAACAATTCATGATTATTTTCCACATATTTGCTTTATAAAAATGTTTACAGATACAGTAGAGCGGCGATTATTCAAACGTCCAATTATCCGAATTAGTTTTTTTTTTTTTTTTTTAAAGTTTAGAATACTTTTTTAACTTATCAACAATTTTTCTAAATTTCTGAACCAGTAGATCTTCTGGATGAAGAGATGCCAGGTTATGAAGTAGAAGAAATAGGAGACTGGAGTTGAGACACTGAAAACGTCCCAGGATTTCAAATGATGAAATTGTGAATGAAATTCGGAACTCCACGGACGAAAAGGGAGAAGTAGGTGATCAAGTTCAAGATAGAGGACCTTTTCATATAGAAGAATACAATGCATTAGATATTACAATGAATTGGCTAGAACGTCAAAATGATGTTGATCCAGTTTAATTGATTTATTTAAAAAGAATAAGGGATATGGCTGCTCAAAAAAGAGCATCTTCTTTGAGACAAAAGTTTTTGCTGGATTTCTTTTGCAATGGAAAATACAGAAAAATGTGGCAAGATCAGTAATTGACAAAAAAATCATAAAAAGCTGAAATACGATATATGTAAAATTCAAAATGAAAAAAAAGTTTTTAAAAAAATTATCACAAACGGGTTGGTTGCTATGGCCTCCGGCCCCGCGCCAACCAACCAAACTCACCATAGTGATATTTTTCCTTCACTTGTTGCTGAGGGTGGCAACGGGTGACTGAGATGGGGCCATGTGTTTTAAAATGTAACCAAGTAGTGTGTTTTTTTTAGAAGGGAGATTTAAAAAACTATCTCCTATAATTGTATGATGTATAAATTGTGTTTTAACATTTTTAATAAAGTCTTATAACTGAAGCTTTTAAAAGTGTTATAAAATAAATAAATAATACAGTGTAACGTCCCATATCCGGACGTCCCTTTTCCGGAAGGGTCAATTTCCCGGACACTTTTTAACNTTAATTGATGATGAAATTGTTGTTGAAATTTTGAATGAAAATCAAAACTCCACAGACTAAGAGGAAGAAGTAGGTGATCAAGTTCAAGATAGTGGACTTTCTCATATAGCAGCATGCAATTTATTAGATATTGCAATGAATTGGTTAGAATGTCAAAATGATGTTGATCCAGTTCAGTTGATTAATTTAAAAAGAATAAAGGATATGGCTGCACAAAAAGAGCATCTTCTTTGAAACAAAAGTTTTTGCTGGATTTCTTTTACAATGGAAAATACAGAAAAATGTGGTAAAATCAATAATTGACAAAAAAATCATAAAAAGCTGAAATATGATAAATAAAATTCAAAAAATGAAAAAAAAGTTTTAAAAAAAATAAATAAAAAATATTTGTATAAAATTGAAAAAATATAAATATAAAATTGAAAAAAAAAAAAAACTTTCAAACCGAGTTATTTTAGAAAGTACTACTATTCCTAAACCTGGAAAAATGTGAAGGGAAGTTAGTGCACAAATAATAATCATTTAAACTAGATTTCAAACAACTTTCCAATTATCCTAACTTTTAATTATTCGAACTACGTTCGGTCCCGGGCAGTTTGGATAATCGGCGCTCTGCTGTAATTGTTTAAGAGAAAATACAACTAAACTTCATAGATTTAACTTTTAATTATTCATCTTCCCTTACAACATAAATAGCAAAATGTACAATCACCAATAGGAGAAAACGAATTCTCAAGACATCTAAAAAAAGTTACAATATTAAAGACAGCAACATACAATTGCATTTCTTAATGATTACAAGATAAATGAGCAGTGGTTTACATCACTGAAGATAAAATTCGAAACATGAAAGTAAAGGAAATAAAAATAAACAAAGTATGAATGATTTTTAATTAGTCTTTTTTCTTCACAACTTGATAGTTAGATACATTTTAATGGGGTATTGAGGTTATTTATGTGTTGTGATTGGTCGCACCATTTACAAACTTAAATAATAAATCTGTAAAGGCTTGCCAATAAGTTTGAGTTCGCTTTCTTCTGTGATGTTTGTTTTAAGTTTCTTGCAGTCTGCTCTCCGGGAGTTGCCAAGACATGGCATTTACTCTGCCAAAGATCATGATACGGATATCATTCTGTTTAATCTATTTTCTTTCCTGAATAGTTAAAAATATTTTCTTATCCTAAAAAAATTATTTTCCTTATACAGGAGTGTGCTTGCTATAAATTACAATAACCTTTTTCACACTTTGAGTTTATTTCTGATGAGTTGGTTTTTCTCTCTTTTATCTAGAAAATTAATTTTATTTTATCATGATACTTTGGGAATTAAGTTTTGTAATAGAACTTTCACAGATGTGTACCCCATCAAAATTTTTAAGAACACAACTGTCATTGATTTTTACAACATGAATAGAAAAATGCACTATCACCAGTAATCAGATCAAATATTTTTTCATCAATAAAATAAAACTTAATAATCATAAAATGATATCAACACAATCGAACTGTAGCAACAGTAATAATTAATCATCACAATAAAATTCCTTAATGATTTTGCCTTCGGCGTAGTGCTCTCTGTTTATCAAACCTAAGCTCCATTTCTTCTAATACTTTTGGAGTGTAACGGACAACAAGTTTAACTGTTCCTTGAGCAGCTTTTAACAATTCAACAGCTTTTTCATGATTTTCGCCTTCGACGCTTACCCCATTAACAGACAGTAACTGGTCACCTCTTTTTAAACCCCCATGTCGATCGGCAACCCCACCGGGAATAATTCTTGATATGTATATAGGAGAATTTTGCTCTCTTCCTCCCATTACATTAAATCCAAGACCTTCATCTGTTTTCGGTAATTCAACAACTCTAGGATGGGCGTGGCCCTCGCTTGCTGCAAAAGCGGCAACAGTAGCTTTTGCAGTAGCACTGGCTCGAATATCTGGACTCCCAGATATATCAACGGTTTCATAGACATGTTCATATACTTCCCTTACTGCAGTGCAGAAATCACTTTGTAGAACTTTTTGCAGAGCTGCTAATTTTTGATTCGGTAATTCACCACTCTTCTGAAGTTTTTCCAAAAGTTCAATCGCTCGTTTAACATCTCTCTCGAGGGTTAATGGTTCGGCTACAGAAGCCATTATATTTCCAAAAATGTTTCTATTAATAAATCTGGAACTTGAAATAGAAACGAGAAAATTTTGTGACAACAATCAAAATATTTTTGTTCTGTTCTTGTTACGGTTATGGTCAGGAGTGAATTGTACATTTCCTGGTTTCTTATTGGTTATTTAGCATCATGTGACTAAGTTTTATAGGAAGAATTTTTACCAGCTTATAAACTTATTAATATATGATTATATTTTCTTACATAAATATAAAAAGTTTTATGTAAGTAAATAAAAAACAATGCAATTATTAATACTTAAATCTAAAAGTTCAAGTTTAAACCAACCAGAAAATAATTTAAGGACCATTTCAAATGCACGCAATTTACGCATCTCTAAACGTCACTGGCATAGAATGAGACAAACTGACGCAGTTGGATGGAGTTAATTGGTAAAATTTATTTTCGCATGAAAAAATTTACCAATCAAGTTCTCGTTTTTTCCGTTCATGATCAGAAATGCGTAAATTGCATGTCGTGAGAATGGTCCCTTATTCAGCTGCATTTGAGGGAGATGGATTAAACTGTTTAAACCATTTAAATTCGAAGCAAAAACTGAAAATTGTCATAAGTCATTTTCATTACTTTTGTTTGTTATGTTACTATCACTTCGATTATTGCCGGTACATTAAAAATATTTCATAATGGCTGCGTCTGTTTTTGCTGGGAATTTCAACGTCAAAATACCAACTGTTGGTGATAAAGTTTACAAGGAGGAATGCATTATCTGCTTTCATACTCCGGTATAAAAAGTGCATGTTTTCTCCTCAGAAATATAAGCTACATAAATCTTTTTAAAAAAAATTAAGAAGAATTTTTTTTTATCTTAACGAAATTTGTATTAAAAGTACAATTAATGAATGTATAATGTACTACTGATATTTACAAATGTTTATTTAGTTCTTCGAAACGTTTTGCCTTATTGAGTAATAACTCTTTTAACTATCATTTTCTAACTCAATACATTTTTGCTAAACAGTTGCTGAATTCTAGAAATAATTGATAATACCTAAATATTTTTAAATAAAGCTAAGTCCGGCATATTATTTAAGTATCTGAATTTCTATCTCATAGGGAAAAAATTTTGTCTAAATATTTGCTCTTTATTTGGGCTCTTTTAAAAACCAAGAATCAATCTCAGAGATTATATACTATCCATTGCAAGAATCTTTATCATTCTAAGCATTTGATTATGATTACAGAATTATTGCTTTCTTTGCTTATGATGAATGTTTAATTTCTACATTATCATTATAGTGTGTAATTGAATTCAAAGATTTTTGTGAATTAATTAGATTTTTCTTAGTTGCAATAATTTATGGGTCATAACTGTGTGTATTACCTCATTTGTAACATAAGATTTTTGCACAAAACTTACCTCGTATGAAAACAGTAAGATTTCTGTTTAGTTCAGTGATGATCATCTGTTTCATAGATCTATTCCAAAATTATCACCCTTTATGACAACTTCTGGGTGAACGACTAAAAAAAAAAAAAAACGTAGTTTTGGACCAACTATGATATAACTTGTAGACATTCCCGGTCAAACATCTACATATTTTTTAAACTCATTTTTGTAGGTTTAAATTCCTTTGGGGCCTTGGCAATTGTAGTTTGTTAAAACAGGTACCAATATGGAAATATTCTAAATTTCTGCAATTATAATAAATAAAATTAAACAGCTAGATTGTAGCATTTAAAAAGAATTCTTTTCATGATTGCTTCAGTCATATCTCACCTATCTTGAATTATATTTCTAAATAAATTAATAAGTAACAAATCTATATTTTTTGTTTGAGTCTGTTCGTTAAAAATTTTCGAGGCAGAAAAATTTGAATTTTTCTTTTTACCTTATACCATTTTACATAATGAAAAAAAAGAATATATATTATATACATATTTTTATTACGTTCCCTTACCTTTGTATTATTTTTAAAAAATTGTTATTTGTTTGTAATCAGACAATGCTTGTGGGAAGATTTCAATTTGGCATCCACAACAAAATGATCACCTAAGTCACGGAAGCTTCCGTCAGTTGGCACAGGATAAATTAAATGGATTTACGGAATGGGGAAAACTGGAAATGTAAAATTATTATCTATCCTAGGGACGAAAATTACGGCGGAAAGTTCAGTACCTGAAAAGCTTTGGGAAGGCAGAAAAATATGTTTTTCTAAATAATGGGCCATTAAAGTAAGCAAAGATCAAAACATGCATTATTTAAAAAGTGATAATTTATATCAACTGCTGTTGTTAATGATTAAATGGCATTTATTTAACTGTACAATGTTTTTGTTATTATGATTATCACCTAACAAAAAAAACCAGGCAGAGCAGATTTTTTGTTTCATAAATAAAGGTAGTTTTTTTTAAATCTTTTTTTATCATGTAATCTGAAGAATTCACTGAGCAGATATTATAGAAAAAAGAGGTCAAAGAATAATTAAAAACAAGTTTATTATTTAATTAAAACATTTCTAATTTTAACCAAAATAAAGCTTGTCTGCTGGTGTTTCAATCAAACTATTAATATTAGTAGCTTATTCCTATTACCAAAGTTGGTTTTTCTTTTTCTGTAACTGATTTTGTCTTTTCTACAGATTTTTAGATTTTCTAATTAAAGCAGTTTAGGTGATTATTTATTCTAAATGCATCAAGAGAAAATGAAAATAAAAACATTTTTTTTCCTTATACATAAGATTCAGTAATGAATTCCGGTTTAAAAGAAAGGGAATTTGTTTTAAGTAAGAAAATAAAGTGTTATAATTGTGGGCAGTGTTCTCATTAAGAGTTTTTTGAATAGCTGCTCTTTGATAAAAATAAACTTTGCCCTTTTGCAACAATAAACTGCCATCCCTTAAAAACACTGCCTTTTTATTCATATTCCATTTTTAAAAAAATTTTTTTTCTCTGTTTGAATAATAGTGGTGAAATTAAAAATTAAACTGGTAATAAAATCAGTGGTAAAATTATCTGTGTTAATAGGTTTAATTCTGATTACTGTTACAAATATTTATTTTGTTAGGATTGTTCTCAACTGGTTTAATTTTTTTAGATTCTCTTACTGGTTTAATTTTTTTAGATTAAGTTTCTCTTTTTTTTTGGAAGTATATTAATTAATTTTTTAAGTGATTTTAGATTTTAAAATTATTTTTTAAATAAATACCCTTTTGAAAGAATGCCTTATTAAATGTTCATTTTCTCATAATTTTTAGTTTAAATTATAGAAAAAAGTTTTCAAGTTGCCTATGCATAAATTTTTCTTCTTCAATAAGTCGTAGTAAGCAATAATCAACTTTCGAACTAAAAATAATGAAGGCGGAAGTTCAAGGTTTGTTTGTTTTTACGTTACGTACGAAAACACCATTCATTACCTCAAAACTGCTAGTATCTATGTAACCACAAGTAGTTAGGTAACAATAATAGTGGCATAGCTGCCAACTCTACTGGATTTCGCAAGTTTCTCCTGGTCTACAGGTTTAATAAAAATTCACCTGGTTTTTGTGCATTTTAGAAAAATCCCTAAAGTATCCTTAAAGGGTCCATATTGAAATACAATCTTTGTGTAGACTATTGCTTGCTTGAATATTTAAATATGTGTCACTAATACATAGTGAAGCAAGCCTCATTTATAAAATTCAGCTAACTATCTTTGAGGAATTAAATGCCTATTACTATTCAAAATTATGAATAGACATAATATATAACATTTCAAGTTTATTTAATGTGAAATCATAACTGGAAAATATTGCAGTTTTTCTATTTCAATGACTATAAAATTTCCTATGTGTAATATATTTTGCAGCAATTATCATGAAATTTATATTTCGTAAAATCTACTGGATTTTTTCCTATGTAGTTGGCAGCTATGTAGTGGCAAAGGTTTTATGACCTTCTGTGGCCATTGTTTCTAAAATGAATTTTCGTATCAATGTGTTTTTTTTAAAAATTATATGATTCAAATTATGATTTTAATTACTTGATATAAATCAGTTTCCATGTAATTAATCTATATTTTTAAGGTATATAGATATTTTAATAACTCTTGTTCTCAAAATGATTCCATTTTCTAAATTATTTTATGGTCATAGCTGTATATAAAATTTGTAATTCTACAAATGAGCGATGATATCAGTCAAGTAATAGCAACTGTTACTCATATAAAAAGCTTAATTTTGAAAGCTTCTCTTTCTAAGAGACGCAACTAGCAGCTTAGCACACATTATGTAATCGTGTTTTTTTCATCAGTATCATTTGATTAAAAAGATATTTAATTTTCACTGCATTTGGTTTTTAAATGTTAGTTAATTATTTAGGAAAATGTTAATTTAATATTTTTTAAATATTCAAAGCAGTTGTATTGCATAATATATAGATTTGATACAGAGGCCTCACTTAATTTGCATGTAATACAAATTCTTCAAAATTTCTTATGTTCTGTTCATATTTTTCTAGGAATCTGAAAATGGTCTATATGTTTGTATGAACACTCTCCTTGGCTTTTGTAAAAAGCATGTGGAATTTTACTATTCTCTTACTGGAAATGCCTTATTCCTTCACCTTCTTCGTTTCAAAAAAGAGGTATTTAAGTGTTAGGTTTATCAAAAAATAACTTGATCAGATTAGTTGCTTTATTTTAAGTTTAAAAATAATTTTGCAATGCTAAGAAATATACAATCCTTTTTCTTTTCTTTTGCTAAATTCATTTTATAAAAGAAATTTTTTTGTTTGTTAATGGTAAAAATATAGTATGGTTTTATATTAAAGTGATTACTAACAAGTCACTTTTTTAAACACTAATCTGTCAATTTTAGCAAGCGTTGTCATTGAAATTAAAAAGTAAAGAAAATGTGATTAGAAAAAGATTTATTTGCTGTTGTCGTAAAAACGCAGATATTAATATAAAAGTAAATGTCTGAGACTTTTTAAAGTGTGAGTAACAAGGATAAATGCAGATATCTAATGTTTTTCCTATTTTTGAAAATTTAGATTACAATTTTTGTATTGTGAATCATATTGTGTGTTTATTTGAAAATCACATGCTTATTTTGTTAAGAAATATGCTTTTTAAGAAATAAATTAAGTTAATTTTCCGAAATTTTTTACTTTACAGATAATTTAATAAAAAAGGCATTTTTAGTTCTGAATTTATAAATGTTTTTTTAAAAATGTCTAAAAAAAATTCTATCAAGTGTGTTAATTACTAAATTAATGATCTTATATTTAAAGTTTACTAAATGAACAATCTGTTTCATATTTAGGATAATGTTTTTTATTTATTATTCCATTTTATAATTTTGGTTATTATGAATTTTTTCATAACTTCATTGATTATCTTTTTATTACAATAAAATGTACACTTGAAATTGTCTATCGCAAGATATTATTTCACATTATTCCTCTTAGATGCTACTAATTGAAGAGCTCACTGAAAAACCCCATTGAGTGACATTTTAAAGGATTTATATTTTTGAAAGAATCTAGTTTTAAGAAAAAAGATAATAATTGATTGTGACTATAAAATATTTATCTGCTCTGTCAAATATTTAAATCGTTCAGTAATAATTCAAATAAAGATGTTTGAAAAACAACCCCACCTTTTTTTGTTGCAGTTTTTTTAAATTTATTTTTTACTTAACATGTTTTTTCAGGAGAGAATTTTTTTTCCAAATTTGTTACTTTTTTGGATATTTCTAGAAATAATTCCGTATTTGAAGGGTTTTTTATCTGCATAGTTTTAAAAACATGTTTATCTTATTTATTGCAAAAATAACAATAATTTTTTTAATAATGTTTTAAAATTGTTTCTCCTCATACAATATTCTATTGTGTGCGTTTCATTATTATTTTTCGTGTGTGTGTTATAAATTTATCAAGCTTTTTATAAATCTATTTTCAGATTGAAGAAAAGTCTGTTCCGGAAAGTGCTCCTACCAAATTAGCAATAGGTATTTATTTTTTTTCATCTTAATTTTTGTTTGTTAAATGTTTTAATAATTGACCCACTATTATAGTAATCTTAGTTTATTCATATTAATTCTTAGGTAAAACAGTTTCATAGATAATTTTTCTTTTTTCTGAAAGAAATTTTATTTTTAAAGTTAATATTAAAAATTAAAGTATCCTTTAATTTGCATGTGTTCTATAAAGTATTTATTAACACTCATAATTGGCCTGGTTTATTTTATTAGGCCTTGAAGGTGGATTTGATGTTAGTGGGAAAAAATACGAATATGAAGATCATAACAGCGTTGCCATTTTGCCACAGTTCCAAATTTTTCCTCTTCCCTGTGCAGATCTACCAGAATCAGTAAGTAAAATGAAGTGAGGATGAGTTTTATTTGCTGTGTTTAATTTAATTGAAAAACAAAGTCGCTTTCATTATTTTCTTACTTAAAGTTTATTATTAAAATTAATTTTGTAATATAATTTTCAACGCAGCTCTGTCTGAAAAGTATTTCTATATGGATTTAGAATTTTAATTAATAATCTCCTTTATCATCTTAACATATTAAGTGTCAATGAATATTCTATCAGTGTAAGACTGAACCAACAGTCAGAGAAAATAGGTTTGACTAGTCATTCTTTTGGTTCCATATAAATAAAATTTGTATTTACAAATATGGATAGATAATCCTAACAAATTTCTGAAACTCAATTCTATGTTTATTCTGTAATTGAAAATCATATTCTATGAAACATAATATAAGCAGGGTATCCGCGCATCTGGAAAGTTATGAAAAATCATGGAAAGTCATGAATTTTGGTATTGAACAAAATTTGTCATGATTGTAACTTTTTTTGAAGAAAAAGTCATGGAAAGTCATGAATTTAGGTCGCCAAAAAATCTAATTATTAAACTGGAATTTACCCCTCCCCCAATTTCTTGGTGTTCCAAATATCTGAATTTGTAATAAACTACCCACTCATAGTCATATTTTTTTTAAAAATATAAAATGTTTTTATCATGTTCTTTAAAAATTGTGTTCTTTCAAAAAATGAAGGAGAAAAAAACGTCATTTTTAGAGCAAATTATCTTTTAAACTTCTGTGATTTCAGAATTTTTAGTATTTATTTTTTTATTTTATCAGTTTTAAATTCTAGCTGAAGCAAGCCAGTGATTGGCGAATTATTTTTATCCTGAAATGAGAACAGAAAAATCAGTATTTCTTTCCTTTCCCTTGAACAAGAAAAGTATCTTTAGAATATAATTCTGTGGAAAAAAGAAAAAAAAAATACTTTTGAGCTATTTTATTTAGAATCTTTATTTTCTCTGTTTTTTTAAATTAAAAATTTATAAATATGAAGATGCAGAGTATAACAGTTTTGGTTACACCTATAATTTCAATTAATGTTATTATGATGCTTTTTTAAATTTACTGTTGTGTTTTTGTCGGAGAAAATAGTATCTTTGTCAAGTCATGAAAAATTCTTGGAATTAGTCATGAAAAGTCATGAATTTGAAAATCTAAAATGTAGCAGATACCTTGTATAAGTTTTATACAATAAAGATATAAAGTGAATAAGTAAGTCTTAGGTAATGAGTTATGAAACAAATTTATAAAAGGCATTATGCTATAATAGAGCTTAATACAAGCTTAAAATCGGTATTTCAAAGACCAGTATCCTCCTATTTTTGGAGGTTTGGCAAAGCATTTTTTCTTGTTATAGACAATGGAAAAATTTCTAAAACTTAACAGAATTTTGTAATTAATATATAATATTAAGAATTAACCAAATGTCTCTCCTCTCATGTATCTATCTTATGTGTAGTGGTGATTAAAATTCCTTTCCTTTTGGTTTATTGAAATATTAATATTTTGCCTAAATTTTTCTTGAATTAATAGATTTTTGTATTAACTGAAGTTATTTTATAGTACTTTTCATATAGTACTTTTTTCTTTCTATTTTTTTAACTATATACCAGTTCTATATTTACTAAATTTAATATTTGGCTCTTTACACTATTGAACTTTCAATCAACTATATGAGGTTCAAATTAGAGCCAGATTGTGTTTCCTTAGAATAAACCAGTTTTTCTTTGTGTTATTAATTTCATAAATGCCTGTAGGAAGGAAAGTATTAAAACAAATTTACTGTATTATTAAAGTATTAATTCTCAGTTCAGAAATTAAGTAAGAAATAAGAAGCTTATTCATGCTCAGGTTGAATGTTTCATCTAATTTATTTTCTAGGTTCAATTTAGTATCAGTGCTATTCTTAACACAGATGCTGCTAGCGTTCAAGAGGAGGCTGATGCTATGGCTGGGACTTGGGATGGAATGCAGAGAGAAACCACTAAGTACAAACTTTTATATTTTATAATAACATTGTGTACTTATTAAATTGCTCTTTTATATTGGAATATATATTTTGCTCCTTGCAAGTCTGACAGAAGCAGTAAGAGGCACAGCAAAAGAAAAATGTTGTGTAGGAATTAGGTTTTTTTTTCTTCAACCTAAGTAGATGAAATTGGAAGAACTCTTCTTAAAACATGAATTATCTGAATTTTTATTTTATAAACGTCTCTGAACAGCCAATCCAATTTTTAGACTAACAATGCTCAACTCTTTAGTCTTGTAATTTTGAGCCTAATCCGGAAGGGTCCTCTTGGATCAAATATCAGAAGAAATTTTTTCTTTTCATGGAGGACTTTTTAATGGCATTAACCCGCACTTGCATTACAGGGAGAGGAAGGCCACGAAAACATACCACGGTTAGTAAGGGGACTAACCCATATGTCTACTAACTGTGGATATTTTACCTCAGCACTGTGGTCGGTGCAAGCCGGATTATATAAAATATTAAAGCAATTCTTTTGAATCTTAGTCTAGTTAATTGTTAAATTGACTTTATAAGCTAGTAATTTGATTATGCCTGACATTAAGAACTAAGATACGGTCAAAAAATTTCGAAACTGATTCAATGCTATTAAAAGAATTATAAAGAAAATTTAACCTGTTGAGGAAAATCGCAATAAAATAATTTTTTTTAAGAATAACTATCAAAATTAAATATTCTGTGTGAAATTATTTGCTATGTATTAAGAGTATCTGCAGTAAACTTAAAAAAAAAAAGTAATAACTAATAGTATGCAGAAATTATCCAATATCAGAGCAATTTTTGCTTAGGAATGTGGACAGTATAAATCGTATTTAAAAATAATTTTTAATAAAAGCTTCATAATTAAACTGATATAAGTAATTTAGAGATACAGTAGAGCGCCGATTATCCGAACTGCTCGGGACCGAACATGGTTCAGATAATTGGAAAACTGTTTAAAATCTAGTGTACATGATTATTATTTATGCACTAACTTCCCTTCGCACCTTTTGTAGGCTTAGGACTGGTAGTACTATCTAAAATAGCTTTGGCGTGCTTAAAAGTTTTTTTTCCTTCAATTTTTAATTAACTTTTTTTAAAACTTTTTTTCATTTTGAATTACTTTTATCATATTTCAGTTTTTTATAATTTTTTTTGTCTATTACTGATTTTACCACATTTTTCATTATTTTCCATTGCAAAAGAAATCCAGCAAAGATTTCGATTCAAAGAAGATGCATTTTTTTTTAACAGCCATATATCCCTTATTCTTTTTAAATAAATCAACTGAACTGGATCAACATCATTTTGACGTTCTAGCCAATTCATTGCAATATCTAATGAATTGCATGCTTATATATGAGAAGGTCCACTATCTTGAACTTGATCACCTACTTCTTCCTCTTTGTCTTTGGAGTTCAGATTTTCATTCAAAATTTCAGCAACAATTTCATCATTTTCATCCGAAAGATCTACTGGTTCAGAAACTTCAGTTTTTCTGTTAAGAATTTTATTCCAAGATTTATTATTCCAAGCACTGTAATCACTAATCATTAACCATAAGTGACAACTACCCATTCCCCAATTATAAAACTACAGCACTTATCTATTCATAAAGTCCTTCTGCATTCCAACCATTGTATACCATCAAAATGAAGCTCGCATTCTTGGAAGAAAATGTTCAGTTGTAAAGGGGTAGGTAGGTTTAACTGTATCACCATACATGTGGCTAAGAAAACTGCTAAAACGGTTGTAAATTAAATATGGTCTTCGGATGTCGGGAATATTATTTATTCTTCTTAATTTAGAAAAATTTTCAAGAGGTTAAAAAGTATTCTAAACTTTAAAAAAAAAAAAAAAAAACTAATTCAGACATAGTTTGTATAATTGGACGTTCGGATAATAAGGGTTCGGACAATCGGCGCTCTACTGTACTTATTTTTTAAAAATAAGTAAACTGAAAAAAACTTAACTTTTTTGTACTACATTGAATTTTATCCATTTTATTGCTCATTTTTAGTTGTTTCTTTTTCTTTTTTCCAATTTCTTTCAGTGTCCTAGAAGAAATCTAAACCCCAATGCATAGGGAATCAGAATTTTTTTCTTTGTTAAATTCATTTGAAATTCATAATATCAGTTCATTTTATTTCACAGATGTAAGAAATGGCGTTTGTATTTATGCAATTTTAAAATCCAATGTCTTGATTCGTATTCATGCAGTTGTAATATCAAACAGCTATTTTCATATTTATACGTGATTTAAAAATTACTCATTAGGATTCGTACTCACGCAATCTTAAAAATATACATAGTGATTCGTATTTACACAATTTTAAAATTCCTTATCGCAATTTGTACTGTCGCTTTTTCAAAATCCAATATATCGATTCGTATTCATACGATTTTAAATTCCAAGATCGCCACTCATATTTGCATGATTTTAATATCCATTTTTGCAATTCTTTTAAGAAGCAAATTTTTTCTTTAATTAGTTACTATAAAGGTGTAATATTCATTATTAGTAGGTAATTTATTTATAAATGTAGTTCAAAAAATTGTGTTAAATATGATTGGTATAAACAACAACTAAATCAATAATAAAGATTTTTCCGTGTTTCTGCTTTGAAAAATTAATTGCACGAGCATGTTGTTAAAAGGTTTAAGGGATTCGCTGACATCGCTTAATATGTGAAATGTGCGTAAAAATTAAAGTGAGAAATACCATCTCAAAGTAACTAAAATACAGATCAATAATCAAAAAAATTTTTTCAATGCAACATAAATTATTTTAGGCATACTAATTTAGTTCAACTTGATAATGGAGTAAAGATTCCACCCAAAGACTGGCAATGTCAAGTATGTGGCCTCAAAGAAAATCTGTGGCTTAATCTTACTGATGGTGCTATTCATTGTGGGAGAAAGTATTTCAATGGTCAAGGAGGAAATAATCATGCTATAGAACATTATGAAAAAACGAAATATCCATTAGTTGTTAAACTAGGAACTATAACTTCTGAAGCATCAGGTATATTATGCATGGAATATTTTTAACTGTTAGTTTCAATATTTGTCCTTTTAAGCTTTATAAAATATTTGCATATTATCATGACACAAGATGCTTTTTATTTTTTGTTCAAAAAAATGTTAATATACTTCATTGTATGAACTATATAGATCATTATTTTGTTAAAATTGCTTATTAGTTTGAAGATTTGATATGATGTAACGTGCAAAATATAAAAAAATAGCACCTTAATAATTTTTAACCTTGTGATTAGCTTTTCACTTACTAAAGTATAATTTTTGTAGTTTGATTTTAAATATTTTAATTAATTTATGTAGACAATATTTGAAGCTCCGGAATCAAATACAAAGAACATTTCTTGAAATAAAATTTTTTTCCCACTGAATTTGGATTTTTGACTCAAAATATGGGTGCCCGGAATCGTTTAGTAAAACCACAAAAATTAAGACTGCATTGAAAATAGAAGAGCCGTACCAAAAAACGAAGATAGAACACAGCAGCTATTTATTTTTAATTTCTTTGTTCTGACAGCTTATTAACAAATGATTTGATTACATAGTATCGGCATCTATCGATCATTTTGATTAAGAGGTGTTCTTGAAATTGGGGAATAGGAACAACCCGTTAACTATGGTGCTAATAGTTTAGTGTAAAGAGCGGTTGATTGTTTGAACTCCATGATACTAATTTGCTGTTTTGTATATTTCTCCATATTTCTAGAACAATTTAGACTAATGAAAAGAAGAAAATGCTTACAATTGCGAAACTAACTTATTAACATATAATTCCATAAAGTGATAGAAATTCATAAAATTTAATTGCTAATTTGTGGATTATTTATTAAAAAGTATTATAGTTCATATGCATTGTCACTGGTTCTTTTACTTGTTCCTTTCAGGTTTTTCTTTAAAAAATTTTAATAATATGAATGTAAACGAAAAATTACTATGCAACGCTTGTTTAATGTTCGCGATTATAATTAGGGCTGCAAGTTTGTCGCGGGAAAAAAGACCCCAAATTCGCGGAGAAATCGTGGGAAATTTTGAAAATTACACAAATTCTAAACATAAAAAAATTTATTATATAAATGATGCAAAAGACAGAAATTGCGCAAATAATAAAAAAAAGGCTTAAAAATACACAACAAAAGTATTTCTTTGAATTTCAAGCAATATTAATACTTTTATTTAAATGAACAGAATTTTGGTACAACATATTGTACATTGTCAGATTATTCTCATTTATCCTTCGTCTTTCATCACTTAATGCATTTTTATACTTAGAAAACGATCTTTCTGCATCAACGCCACTTTAGCCAATTTTGGAGTGTTCGATCTTAAAAATCGATCAATTTTCCTTCACCAAAGCGCAATTCCTTGACCGTTGCTTTGTAAGAAGTAATTGCTGTGAAAACTCAAACATTCTACATTCAAACTACTAGTTACAAGTCCCTACTAACTACTAGTCCCCCCCCCTCTTCATCTAAAAAACTGATCCATATTTAAGAAATCACAAGAAGCCGCTGAGGAAAAATTAACTGGATATGTAGAAAGGCAGTAGAAATTTCATTGCCCAGTGCAAAAACATGTATAACAATTTTTCTGTCAAAGATTTGATTTATAACATTTTCCTTCTTTTGTGATTCCAATTTCTTTTGTACTCCTACTGACTTCAGGAAGGTAATTACCCTCCCTAAGTGTAAAAAGACCACCTTAGTTGACAAGATTGTGATTATCTCTTATCTCTGAACTATTTTCATGTCATTTTGCTATTGATTCACTCCCCAAAATATCTAATCAATTTTACATGTTCAATTTAAGGTTCAGGAAAATAAAAAATTCTGTTTAATAAAAATAATAAATAAAAAATGAAAAAAGAAATCAAATTTTAAGCAATTTTTGCGCAAGTCAAGACATATTGAGAAATTTGCGGATTTTAGGAAAAAAAGATGACAATTTCGCGGAGATTCGCGCCGCGACAAACCTGCAGCCCTAATTATAATTAAATATTCTATTTTGTGACAATAACTCGGACCAAACACGAAACTGAAACTTAAAAAACATTAGAACGTCATTTTACATCTATTGCTGGTTATGGGAAACACTAATCATTACTTTAAGGCAATCCTGTTGTCAAATTTTAGTGGTCCTAGAGCAGTGAACCTCCATTGATTTTAAACCCTGATTTTATATATATATTTAAAATTTATTTTTTAATTTAGTACTAGTCAAAAATTGTATTGGGGGGTATACATTTTTTTATTTCTTTTTAAACTATGTAATTTTCAATGCCAAAATGTGAAATTTAAACAAAACTGGCTAAACACTTTCTAGATAATTTTAAAAAATGTCATTTTTCTAAATACTTATTTTTGAAAAATTATTTAATTGATTTCATTTAGTTTTTGAATCATAGTATAATTAAGGTTAAATTCTAGAGCAATTAAGATTTGCCTCTTGGTGGGAGAAAATCCAATCACTAGATCAAAAGTTCTAAAAGTCTTCTGTTTTTTTGCATTGTGCATCAATGGTTTAAAATTATGTTAATCATAGTTTTTTCAACTAAAAAAAGTAACAAATAATTTTAAAAAAAACTCAGTGTTAAGTATTTTTGATATCCATTTTTATTCAAAAAATTCAGTTATTTTACCACAAATAGCACTTGTGTACAAACTTTTTTAAATGATTATTTTTATAAATATGTTTCATAGATAATAATATTTTATTTCAGTGACATTCATTCATAAGCTTTCAGTAACATTCATTCTTGAGCATAAGTTTATTTCTTTTTTTTCATTTTGCAATTTATTTTTAACAGATGTTTATTCCTATGATGAAGATAATATGGTGATTGATCCAAATCTGCCGCAACATTTAGCACATTTTGGAATTAATATTAAAGATCTACAAAAGGTAAAATTTTAAATTGCCTTTCCAAAATTGGAAACTCAAAATATTATTTTATGTCTTTATTTCTAAATTTACTTTATCTTTCTTATCCAAAATCTTATTTTAAAATATTAAGATATATACTTTTTATCATAGCCTTTTATGTTTTTTAAATTGAAGTTACTCAGAAAAACATGTAATAAATTACTACACTTTTTTCAAAATGGGCTTTTTCATTATTATCATATTTTCTAAAATGATTATATATATTTTATTTTTGTTAATTTTTTCTGTTTCTGATCCATCGTTATTGCGAATAAGCACTGAAATATTTTTAAATGTTAAAGTTTAATTATATTTTTCATATGCATTTTCTTTATTAAAATTTGCATATCATTTGTATCTGTTATGCATTGTAAAAATGCTGTATCTCCATATCTTTAATTTTTTCTTCTTCTTAATAGTGACAACATATTATAGTTATTTTTATACATTGTACAACACAAATTAATTCAAAGACTTTTACCTAGACTGATAAATCTATGGTGGAGTTAGAAATTGATTTGAACCAGCGTATTGGTGAATGGGCAGTAATACAAGAGGAAGGAACAAAATTAGTACCATTGTATGGGCCAGGTTATACTGGATTGGAAAACTTGGGCAATTCATGTTATTTGAATTCGGTAATGCAAGTTGTTTTCAACATTCCTGACTTCCTAGAATGGTTAGTACTGTTTCTTTATGAAAATGAAATAAGAGAAGTGTGTTTAAATTATTTTCACAACATGCTAAAGTTTAGTAATCAAAAATATTAAATTTAAATTAAAGGCAATTGACTTGGTAATAAAATACTATTCTCTTAGTAGAGCCTATAGAGCACAAAGGGAGAAAATATGCATGTATTTTTTGTAAATAGTGTACAAAAAGTAATTATGTATTAAAAATGCACCAAAATATATTACTGATATTGAAAAAATCATTACAATGAATTTTCTCAGGGACGACCACTTCCACAGTAAAATGGTCCTTAATGGAGGTTCAAAAAAATTGTTCAAAATGTTATTGAAGGTACAGGATTTTTCACAAGCAATTTTAGTTTTAGTGAGTGCCATTTTCTTGGTGCGGAATTACCACTTGTGTTGGTGTCATGAAAACGGGATCAATGAATAAAATTTAGTGTCGATGAAAATGACACCTACTGATACAGTTATGTGTAAAGCAAATTTATTAATTATGAATGATGGAACTATTATTAATAAACAATTATGTTTTTTGTCCAAGTTCGTATTTAGTTTTACAACATAAAAATTAGTTTATGTTAAAAAATAAGAAAAAATGATTTTTAAATAACTTTTTTTCTAATTTAGCCTCTAACTCTAAAAGTAAACCATTGATAGTGTCGTGCACTCTGCCTGGAACATAAGAATTTTCTATTTCTTTAAGAGATCCTTAAAAAGAGCTCTCTAAATAAGAGCCACTTACAATTATTTTGCATACATTTGAATCTTCTTATTTGTCTTGTTAATATTTTTGTTTTCATATTTTTTCGTGTTTCCTTATTTGATTTTTCCCGCATTTGGTGTGGAGGTTCGCCCGATCACTCGAAGTGGTTTTGATGGTCTGTCCTAAAGGTTTTTTCTCACGCAAAGTCTATGAAAATAATTTTGTGCCTCCAAAAGTGGCCGTAAGTAAAGGAGGTTGCTACACAGAGTACTTGTACATTCAGTTATGTACGTTCAGTTGCACAGAACACTGTACTTGTTTCTTTTAAAAGAAAAAAAAAGAATTAAAAAAAATGAATTTTCTCAATATTTATTAAAAAAGTAAAGTATTAAAGAAAGGTTTTTGCGAAAAATTTCATAAATTTTGTTTGATATTTTTTCTAATATATTACTTTATTAATTGTCAAGTATATTTTTTCGCTGTAAAATAAGTATAAATAAGAAAATATGTGCTATACGGAGCAAGAACAAAAAGGAAACAAATTAATTTTGGCAATACCACACTCAAATTACTACACTATAATATATTAAAAGCTAAAACTAAGAATGATTTAAAAAATCAACACAATTTTTATTACTAAGATCATGAAACTCACTTAAACAAAACTTAATTAAATAATTTGATTATTGCCATTTTTATTTGTTTTTGATATTCAAAAAGTATTTGATTTTAATTTTCTCTAATTGTTTCTAGCTATTATAAGAATTGTGAAGAAATATTTGCTGAGTCTCTTCTTGATGCACCAAAGAATTTTAATGTTCAGATGTAAGTATGTATTTGTGATGGATGTCAAACTTGTATTTTTTATTTTTACATTGGCTTGTTTTACTTTACTAGTTTATTACAAAACAAGTTTCTTTTAAAGAAATAATTACTGATAGTTATATTAATAGATAATTGTTCTGGTTTTTTCAGGGCTAAGCTTGCATATGGTTTATTAAGTGGAGAATATTCCAAACCTCCTGAAAGAAAAACGGATGATCCTCAAGAGGCAGTTGTGGTATAAAAACTATTTTTCATAGTTATATACTTTTTCTTTAAAGACTTTGTGAAATTTACACAATATTTTGGTCTGCAAATTATTGTTGCTGCTGTAGAATCTTGATTTTAACATTTTCTAGTGTGTGATGTTCATAGCATTGTCAGGTCCTAATACAAGTGATTTTACTCAGTTCTTTAATGCAAATTGTTCTGGTAAAAATGGTACCTTTAAGAAAAGTGTACAAAAAAATCGTTATTTTTGCAAAAATCGCAGTTATACTGGTAAAATCCACACCTCCCCAGAAAGAATAAAAATAAACTATATCTATAAATTTTTATTAAATGTAATTCCCAAAATTTTAAAAGTCACACGTGGTGATTCATATTCAGGTGATTTAAAAGTCACATGTGGTGATTCCTATTCATAAGGTTTAAAAACTGCACAGCAAAATTCATATGCATGCAGTTTAAATATTGCATATCATGGAAACGAAAAGTTTGCTATGAATTCCAAAAACTGATGAAGTTAATAATCCTAACCGTATTACTGCTCACTTCAACAGCTTCTGTAGAAACAATTTGGTATGTTCTAAATTGATTAGAAGTCATTCTTAAAAATATTCATTTAATTACGTAAGAGCTCTCAGATAATTAATTACATCAAATTATCCCAATATTTAAGAATTTCGCTAATCAGAGGATAATTATTTAGAAATTTTTTGAACCATTTTCTACCTGATGAACCATTTCATTATTAATATTTTTTTAAAAATAATGTTTTTTTTATTGTTTTTTTTTATATTTTAAGGACATTTGTCACTGAAAATTATGAAATGCTAAAAGTTTTTTTTAAAAAATAAAATGTTGCTAATGTTTTTACGAAAATGGGCATTAAGTTAAAACTCTTGGATTAGCCCCCTGATTGCATAAAAGTTTAAATTGAATTAAAATTTTTCACTGTCTGAGTTTTTGTATAGATATACAAAGGGTTTCAGGCACCTAAAAAATCATAACTGGTCCTCTATTTTTTTTAAGCCTAGAAATTTGGATTTTTTTCCGACTGCGGTCTCCTAGGAATTTTGATTTTTTCTTAACCCTGTTTGTGAATATATGTAACTGGGATTTGTGAATATATGATACTGTATGAAATCTGGAGGATGTCTACTTTTGTAGCGTATGGAACTGCCAATCATTTTAAATGTTTAATGAAATACTTGCAAATCCTCATATGCTTATTCTGAGTTGGATTTGGTGGAAGTATTCTTGCACTCTTATGTATAGCGGCCCTTTGCAAATGATTCTCAATATCAGGCTTTGTTTTCCGTGTTCTGAAATTGAATCGAAAAAGCTCTATCATTTTTGCTGATCACGAAACATAGCCATTTTTTTTCTCTCTAATATTCCTTTTAATTTATCGTTGGTGAAGCACCATCATTTTCATCACTGGCAAAATACCTTACTTGAGCTCTTTACTTATAGGTCAGTACCATAATCCTTGAACTTGACTTGGGGATCATTCACTAATAATGTATTTTCCTGTGGGTCACGAGAGCAATCAAGAATTACAAAGGCTTATCACCTCAAAATTTCCATCTCTCTTCTATTCACTTAATTTAATAAAGATAAGAATTTGTTGAGTTTTTAATTGTATGGTTTTTATCTGAGAGACCATTCCTACTTGAATATTTTTTTATTGTACTTTATTAATTTTTTTATAACTTTTAAAATTTTCAGTGCTCTTAGTTTGTTTCATGAAGAATTTCTATAATATTTAGAAGCAAGATTTTTAAAAAGTTTAAAGTGAGGGGCTTTCACTATTTAAATACATCAAAAAATCTTATGTTATTTAGATTTGTCATTCCAAAAAACTTTTAATTCATTCTTTATGATTTGATTCAAAAACAATTGAAATAAAGAAATTCAATTATCTCAGATTTAATAAATATTATAAGTTTAGGGACCATATACTAATCTACTTATGACAAAAATGTTTTGTTTCAATGCTCTTATTTACGAAATGATTAAAAGAAATTTTAATCATTTCATTAGAAAAATGTTGAACCAAGTAACAAATTTTTAATAAAAATTTATTTGGGGCCATTCAGTAATTTACATTTGTAATAGCAATTTATTAAAATTTGCTTAATTCTTTACATATCTCTATACATTTGGTATTAACAATAACATTAATTTTGTTAATGTTTTGTTGAATATGCTTTTATAAATTACTTTTTCTTAAAACTAAGGAAATACACTTGAGAAACTTTTTAAATGATAGTTAAATTAACTTTAATTTTGAATTAATTTTTTTACCTTATTAAATAATTATTAATTTAAAAATTTTATTGTTCACTCAATATAATTTTTTAATAATTTTATGGTGGCAAATATAATCAAAAAAAGAGTTCTTTGTTAGAAGCTAGTTATTCTAGAATGATCACATGAAGTTTTTGAAAATTATTTTGCATTTTGTTAATGTATATATGAGGAACTTTCTGCAATAGGAAAAAAGTTTTTCTATTAGTACGCATATCCTAATTATGATATTTTTTAAAAAGCTAAAAAATATTTTTTGAGTGCTTAAAAGATGTTTATTTTTTGTTGAAAAGTTTGACTTCATTCTGTATTAAATAAAATGATTGTATTCTTGATCTAAAATATTTATTTTAATCTTAAAACAGTAATTTTTCAAATTAACATATCTATCTAATAATGATTTACAGGAACTTTTTGATTATTTTAAAATTCACAATTATATTTGACTGCTGCATGCAATAGGTTTCTACATATCTCTCATTTTATATAAGAATAACACAGTAATAGCATCTGAAATATTTTGTTAGAAACTGTGTTAAAGATGTTTTGAATTCTTATGCTTTCTTTATTCATGAGAATCTGTATCTGTTTGTAAAAATTATATTTTGCTTATGACCTGTTCCATTCCATTATAAGAGAGAGAATCTGGGTAATTTATCATACTGGTGAAAATTTTTTTTAAAATATGTATATTTTAAATTTATTGAAAGATGTAGCCTTTATTTCTATACCTGTTTTTATATTTAAGTTAAAAGGTATCAATTTATGAACTTTTTTAAATAAAAATTTAACTTTCATTATAAACATAAGAAATTTTATTTAATCTTTCATTATATTGAGATTATTGCTTTGCTGTATATTTGCTTGTTTATCGATTAAAAAAATTTTCTAGGAACTTCCTGGAATAAAACCCCGTATGTTCAAAAATCTTATTGGTCAGGGTCATTCTGAGTTTTCAACTAAGCGCCAACAAGATGCTCAGGAATTTTTCTTACATCTTATAAGTGTGTTAGAGGTAATTATAAATAAAATGTTCTTCATCTTTTCAGTTATCTTTCAATGTTTACTTATTTTATAACGTTATTTTAAATATCCCTTTTAATTAAAGCTGTAAGCACCTTGCAATTATGAACAAGCAACTATGTGTACAACTTTTTTTTTGTTGGCCAAATAAGGTTATAGTCACTAAGTGATTTGCTACAATTTATTCTACTTGATGCTGAAATTTATTCATCTCGTAAAGATTATAAATATTAAATAAAGTTTTTTTAAGAACCTCAAAGTGCCATTAAATAATAGTAAATCTCGCAAGGTTCTTCAAATAAAAGCTTAGAAATTCATGCCATACCATATTATAAACAGACATTACATTAATAAAATTTCACAGAAAAGAAAAATAAAGTATATTTACATTACAATTTTTGCTGAACAAAATTATTTAAAATTTTTATATCCTGAAATTTTTTATTTACTAGCCGGGGTAAATTTTTTATTTAATGGCCACACTTTTTCTAAATAAAAGGAGAGGTAATGGATTATTCCAAAATGTAAAGCTTTGTTACTTTAAAATGAACTGATGTGTTTTGGGGGAAAAAAAATCAGGTTTGACAAAGAAAAAAAGATCTTTGAACCTCTTTTTTTTTCCTAATGTGAATGTTTTTGTATTATCAAGAAAACTGTGGAAAGGGAATAAGAAGGTACTAGAATGTTAATTATCTGACATGCATAGTACATGGTATCTCAAATGATATATATTTTGCTGCAACGCACTTCTCACTAACTAATGTTTTAAAAAAGTAGCGACTACAGTAATTTCAATACTTAATCCACTACCTCCGACCACTGGTCATTATAAGGATTTAGTGTCATCTTAATTGCAAACCACTCCGGTATATTTTGTTACTGGATGTTTTGTGTAATGACTTGTTCTTGTAAAATAATACTGGATGTTTTGTACTGGACTGGATGTCTTGTACTGGATGTTTTGTAATGACTTGTTCTTGTAAAATTAAAATCTTTGTAATTTTAATATTTTTTACTTCTTTAAATAGCGTCATTCACGTGGTAGAGGAAATCCTGCTGATGCTTTGAAATTCCAAGTAGAAGAACGAGTAGAATGTGCTTCCAAGAAAGTAAAATATACAACTAGAACTGATTATTTACTATCTTTAGATATACCTTTTGAAGGAGCTACAAATACAGGTGTGTATTTATCTTTATTTTATAAATTTTGTAAAAAATAAAAGTTCTAAAAATCTAATGAGCCAATTTGCCATGACTTATTATAATTTTTTTTTGTTCACTGATATTGTTATTGAGTTAAATTTAATAAAAGTTTTTTACCTTTCAACACCATTATAAGAAAACTTAATGGAATCCATTCAGTAACACACTATTCTAGACAAATATGTTTTGTAATACAGTCCACATTTGGAACTGAATCTGTAACGTTTCTCCATTGATAGATGAAGATCTTCTCAAAATTTTTTAGAAAATTTATTGCACCTTTCCTAATTTTATTAGACCACTTTGTTTGTGATTATTGTCTTAGTTGTACGTTATCACAAAGATACCAGGATGTTGAAAGTCCATCAATTGTCTGGTCATTGAGCTAAATGACTAGCCTCTTGTCAATTATTCCTAACTATGGTTTATTTGTTATCCTATTATTACCATAGTGAAACTTGAAGGAATCAATTTGGTTTAGTACTTTAGAATCCAAAATCCAATCCACACCTTATCATGGTTCAACCTGTAAGTAACCATGGCTTGAGCTTAGTGAGTAGACATGGATGAGTCTTTGCAATGTGCACCTGACTGGTGTAGGAAAATACTGACTAGTACCTTTCCAATCTTCGGAAATGAATCTGCAGAAGAGTATATATTAACATTATCTTCCAATTTTATTAACATATTTTGAAAGGCTCCAAAATAGGAATTAATTCTTTACTCTGACATACCGTTTATTATTATTAATTATCTAGTCAATATTTTTATTTTAATTGTACTACTTTAAGTTTAAAGTTGCTCAAAAAGTATCTATTTTTTAACATATTACAAATTCCTAGTTATCAAAATTTGTGACAGAAAAATAATTAACAATGTAGACAATAAGTTTAATGAAATAATGCCTTCAAAAGTTCCAATTATATTCTCTATTATTTTCTAATTTTATTTTGCATTAGAGAACAAGTTTGACTAATTCAGATATGCCCTCTGTTTGGTTTTAGACCTAAAGCTTCAGACTTTTCATTAGTTGTTATACTTCCGAATTCAACACAAAATGTTTTAATTGTTTCGTAAAACCAAAAAACCTGTTTCAATTGTTTCGTAAAAACCCTGCTAAAATTGAGTGATTTTATAACGGTATTTACGACTACTAATGTTCAACTCTGATGCCTTGTAATTTCAAATCCAATCCAGAAGACAAGGGAACTCCTGAATCAAATATTGGGAGAAATTTGCCTTTGTGGAGAAATTTTTGATGGAACTAACTACTTTACGTCAGCACTGTGGTCAGTGCAAGTCTGATGCGAAATTGGTATCGACCAGCCATCGCTGGGATTTGAACCTGGTTCACCTCATTGAAGGGTGAATATTCCATCCCCTGAGCCATCACAGCTTAAATTGATTGATTTGAAAAAAATTTCATCAAAAGTCCACATTTATCTTTTTTTTTTTTAAATGTAAGGAAAAAATCATTAATAAAAGACAGAACATTCCTCACTTAACATTTAACGAAAGTAGAATGGCTGTTAAATGGGCAAAAATTGGAATTNTGACTAATTCAGACATGCCCTCTGTTTGGTTTTAGACCTAAAGCTTCAGACTTTTCATTAGTTGTTATACTTCCGAATTCAACACAAAATGTTTTAATTGTTTCGTAAAACCAAAAAACCTGTTTCAATTCGTAAAAACCCTGCTAAAATTGAGTGATTTTATAACGGTATTTACGACTACTAATGTTCAACTCTGATGTCTTGTAATTTCAAATCCAATCCAGAAAACAAGGGAACTCCTGAATCAAATATTGGAGAAATTTGCCTTTGTGGAGAAATTTTTGATGGAACTAACTATTTTACGTCAGCACTGTGGTCAGTGCAAGTCTGATGCAAAATTGGTATCGACCAGCCATCGCTGGGATTTGAACCCGGCTCACCTCATTGGAGGGTGAATATTCCATCCCTGATTTGAAAAAAAATTCATCAAAAGTCCGCATTTATCTTCTTTTTTTTTTTAAATGTAAGGAAAAAATCATTAATAAAAGACAGAACATTCCTCACTTAACATTTAACGAAAGTAGAATGGCTGTTAAATGGGCAAAAATTGGAAATTTGTTCAAATAAAAAATATGAGCTGTTGATTGAGTTAATGCTTGTTGTCTTACTCCCGCCATATAATAATGTGACATGGAAGAGGGTATTTAGCGTTGTCTCTGAGACAAGCACACTCATTTCCATTTTTAAATATCAATTGAAAATTTGGTTAGTTTATTGATTGTTAAATCAAAGTGAAAATTCCTTGTTTTGAGTGAAACTTCAGCAATGTATTTTTAAGAAAAGCGAAATATTGGACTTTTAAGTTTTCATTAAGAATAAAAATTTTGATTTTTTTTTTCAATCTATTAATTTTTATTCTTCAGAGTTATGTGTTATTATTGTTGTTGTCATAGGCCATTAAGGCAAGGGGTGTGGTTGTTCTTGTTTTCCAATGACGCCATTTATGGCAAAGAATTCGACTTCTGCCACACCCGTGTTATAAGGTGAACCCATTCATACATCTATTCATTGATCCACAGATTGTAATTTTAACCTGATCCACAGACGAATCAGTCTCCAATTCTCCCATAGGTAGGATTTGTTATGGAAACATGGAGGTCTTTGTGGCTGAACAGATTTACTACATGGGGAGTCTTCGGCCAGTGTGGATCGAACTCACGATCACTTGGACATGGGCTCAACACCCTTGCAACCAGGCTATCTCGGACTCTATGTAAAATATTCGTTACAAAACTTTCCAATTCAGTATCCCCAGGGGTATAATTTGTTATGGGAACTTGGAGGATTTTGTGACCCAACAGATAATACATGCACAAGTCACCATTTACTGTCCTGGAATTTTCAGCCAGCTGGATTTTAACTCAAGTTCTCATGAACGGGAGTCCAGTTCCCTGATATTCCCCTCCACTCCGTCATGGAGATTTTCATCGAATTTAGGGGGGATGCTTTATCTGAATTTTATAAGATATTCCTGAAATAACTTGTTTAAGTTGAATATAATTTGTTTTTGACCTAAAAAAGGAATTATTTAAGAAAAATGAATGTTCTAGAAATGATTGTTTATACTATACGTAATATTTTATATGCTTAATCTTTTGTGAAATATTTTATATCTGAATTATGTATGTTTAAGTTTTTATATTTTTAATTTAAAGGTAAACTGGCTTTTTTTTAAAAAAAATACCATCAGATTAATTAGTCATATTTTTTTATTTATCTAGAGGAACTAAAGGAATTTGAAAATAAAAAGGCTGAAATACTTGCTAGAGGAGACCGATTGTAAGATTTCTTTTATTTTTTTACCTTAATCTTTACTGTGTTTTTCCTCAGATGAATTTAAGTTACATGCTTTTATGTAAGGGTTCTCATTACCACTTATGTAATTTTTCTATTTTTTTACTTTATCTCTGTTAAATGTTTAAGATTCTTCCTTTGGCTTTAGAAGAGCAAAAAACTGTTCCCCCCGATCATTTATTATTTTTTTTAGTTTTTTTACTTATGTTTTTATTTATTTTTCTGAGAATGTTAAAAAGTAACTGTACCGCTAAAATTTTTCTTTTATGTATTATTCATAACAAATTAAAATTCTTTAAATAAAACTGTAAACCAATTGATTGATAAGAATTGAGGTGAAGTGAGGAATAAGAATTTTAATATTTCAATTAGGGATCATTTACTCTTTTTTTTTATGTGTATATATTTATGTTATGATGTATATTTGGCAGAATTTATCAAAAATAAATTTCTTTAAATTTAAAGTAGGCAGTTTATATAATTTTGAATTAATATAGGCATGAAATCATCTATCAGATCTACGATTTTCAGCTTTTTGTTTATTTATTTTTTTGTCTCTCCTGCTAAAGTTTACCTATCATGCACTTTTCAAAATCTATAAAAATTAATTTTAAATAGATACATTTATTAAGATTCAGGTCAGGTGCTTGCAATGTGGATTTTACAATATGACTTTTGACATTGCTAGTTAAGTTTTGTAAATTAATATGCTGTGTCAATTAAACGGTGATTTCTATTCATAGGTTTGTGATGTAAATCTTTCATATTTATATTAAGTTTTTTTTATCTGTAGAAATTCAATTTTTTTAAAATTAAAACTTTGATACAATTATTCCAGCATTTAAAAATAATTAGTTTAAAACTATTGATTTAAGTCACAATGAATGTCACAGTTGAAATAACTTGATTTAAAAGGAAATCATTTAAATTTGACTGTGATTTTTTTTTAAATTGTTACTTTAAACCAGGGTTGGCAGGTTTTTGACGTGACAGTTTTTGACCGTTTAAACCATGGTTTAAACCGTCACGTCAAAAACCTCACTGTCAAAAATGTCAAAAACCTATATTCATATGTGAAATTTAATTAATACATGAAATTTATATATTTTTTAAAGGATAGTGTTTCTAAATATGTTCTAGAAAAAATAAATTTAAAATTTTGAAGAAACACTTATATTTTGAATAGTAACCAAAATCTTGTACTTTTGAAAGCTCACATCTTTTGTAATATTATGTATTCATTTTCATGTGTTATTGAAAATCTGCAGTGATATTATTAAGAAATTTATTTATAACCAAATTTAGTGTATAGTATAGATTATACTAAAAATTAGACATTTTTAAAGATAAACATTAGCAGTTTTGTACATTAGACATCTTCTTTTAAAGAAAAATCTTTTTAATATTCTTTTAAATCTTCTTAATAATCTTTTTAACATAAGACAATACAAATTTAAGTGCTTTCTGTTAAATACACAGAGTAGTTAGTGTCGATTTACAGTATATTCAGCCTATTCATTTACTATGCTGAAAATTTAGTTTATCCAAATACTTGTGAATTTCATTTTGCTGAATACTATATAGTTTTGTTGAATATCTAAATATTCAGCTGTTGAATAATTACTTCTTGCTTTCAAGATATGCATTATTTGTATTCTTAATACAAGTGGAGAAAAAAAAATTAAGAGATAAAAATTGTTTTAAAATGATAAGTGTAATAATTATAAATAAATATAATAAACAATATGAATTATATTTATCATTATTCATAAATATAACTACTTTTAAATTCAAATTAACATACTGGATAATAAAGATATTCGGTATAACATTAAAATTTTTTTTCATACACTTGTATCAAGTTTGTATTTATACAACATAACTTGTAAGTTCCTTATAAATATTAGTTATATGTTCCTTATATGTCAAAAATGCATAGTAATAAACTTTTAATTTTCTTAAGTATCAAAAAAAAAATTTTTTTTTTCAAAATATAAATATTTAAAAAAATTTTGTGCAAAATTTTTCTGCACATGCATTTGAATATAAATTTCTGAGATTTTAAATCTGTTATTTTACCTTAATTTTAATTAAAAAATATTTTAAAACCTGCTGATTACCTATAGTATAATTAAATTTCAATATAATGCATGGCAACTGTTGGTAGTTTTGAAGTTTATATATTTTTTTGGCAAACTTTAGTTTTTGACATTTTTGACGGGTTTTTGACGGTTTAAACCAGTATTATACCCTTGTCATGTCAAAAACCACTTTTTGACGTCAAAAACCCAACCCTGCTTTAAACAATTTTATTAAACAGTTTTATTTAATTATTAATTTTAAGTTTGAAATATTTTTTTACATGTTTATATGTAATTAATAGTTACATTCTTTAGGGTGTGATTATTTTAAAAGTGTGATATCATTGGTAATGAAGATCTTTTACTGAGAAATAATGCATGTAAATTATCATGTTTCAAAATAAGCTGGAAAAGAAAATCTAGATGTTGATAAGAGTTGCATGAAATGTATAATTTTCCATTAAATGTATGTAAAATAATTTGCTGGCAATAAAAATTTTTTTAATTTAGTTTTATGTTTATTAAAATAAAGTAGTTTTAAAAATTATTAAATGTGCTGTTAGTGTTAATCAGTAATGAAGATAGACTTGTACATGAGACTTTATAATTGATTTTAAATTTAATTTCATTCTGTAGAAAACCAGAAGAAATTGTCAAACCTAAAATACCGCTGCAAGCTTGCTTCGAACGATTTGCAGCTGAAGAAATTGTTGATGATTTTTACAGTACAGCTCTAGATCAGAAGACAACTGCTAAAAAGTTTGTAATGTTTTAAAAAATGTTTCTATATTTTTGTTGGCTTAATTTTATTTTTTATTAATATATATTTTTTTCCAGAACTACTAGATTGCGAACTTTTCCCGATTATCTTCTTTTACATTTAAAGAAATTCACTATTGGTGATGATTGGGTTCCTAAAAAACTAGGTAAGGATGTTTTGATAGCTGTTTAATTGTTGTTGTACCTTCACTATTTTAATTTTTAATCATGCACTGGTCATCCTGCATAGTTCTACATATTCATAAAACATTTATTTAATCAAGTATAAGGGAATTGGGGAGAACATAATTTGATACTAAACTTTCACTTTTTGGAGTTGTGATTTCAAGCACTCTCTGTGAAATCAGTTTAAAGATTGTAATGTTTGCAAGTGGGCTAATTTGTAACACAAAATCTCAACTAAAAAACTTTCTGCGAACACAAAAATCTCAAATAATATACTTTCTGCAAGCTATTTATTGACTCTTGTAACTACTTTAAACTCTTTTACTGCTACCTAGTTTTGACGAAATTTATTTCAAAAATCACCAATTGTTTTTAAATGTTTTAATTTTAATAAAATTCTATATTGATTGTTATACATACCAGCTTATTTTTCTTTAAACATAGCAATTTTTTTGAAGATATAAACTAGTTATTGACTTATCAAATTTTCTGTTATTGGAGGAATTATCAGAAATTAATGAAATTTATTCCACACTATCTTCCGCACTATCTCATCATTTCAAATTTGTCTGCTTTCTCAACACAGTCTAACAGAGATTATTATTGTCAAAATTCAGCTTAATTATGTAACATACATGTAGCAAAACTTGCAAGTATGAGATCCTTAAAATTTGTACACAAAACTTTATATTGTTTAAGTTTGATTAAATAATGCTTTAATAATGGAATAAATCAATAAACGGATAAGCCTGTAATTAAGTAACGGAAGATAAATTCTTTGTGTTTTGCTCTTAACGAAGTTTTCAGAATTCAGCTTTTGAATGTTTATTAGAACAAGTTAGAGATGTTTTAAAAAAGTAGTCTCAGCAATTTTGCCCCATTTATTTGATTGCTTTTTAGAAATAAAAAACTAGATGAGAAATATTCTGCAGATGCTATAATAATCTGAAATTCTCACTGCCATGCTGGAGTGTTTATGCTACGAGCTGATAGTGGTATAAATAAAAATACACAATCACTTTGTAATTCTAATCATCTGCATGCTTTCTGTCACTGTACATTTCATTTAAGTTATGTTCTATTAGTGATGATTTCGTCATGGTGTTGAGAATTTTCACAAACATGAGTATATATGTAACAGCTTCTAAATTTCTTTTTAGATGTTTCAATAGATGTCCCTGATATATTAGACTTGGGTGTACTTCGAGGAATGGGTATTCAACCTGATGAAGAGGAACTCCCTGAAGCTCCTTCTTCTGAAAATGGTATTCCCTATTGACAATATATTTTTTATGGTTTTAAAAATAAGATCACAATTTTATAATGTTGTAAGCATTCAGATTATTTTTATTAAATTCTTACTACTATTAAATTATATGAATCCTGGATGCATTGTTGAGATGAGGGCTAATATATAGTTGCTGGTGCTGAATATTTCAGAAAATTTAAACTGTTCTTTTTTCTTTTCCAATCTAATTTTTTTTGAAAAGCAAAGTTTTCCATTTTATTATTTCATAACATTCAGAAACTTGCTTCAGATCAGAAAAATTCTTAAAATTTGTCATTCCTGTTAACTCGGATGAATTCCACTTCATTTATTGTAATTAAATAAAATCAAAAATAATACAATTATCTTTATGTACCTTCTTAAATTTATTTGCTTTCCTTTGTGAAAATAAAAGGCTGCTATGCAACCTTTCATTAAAAACAGGCTGTCTCCTAAAAATCGACTTAAGCCCCTGGAAATGTTGTAGTTTTTTCCACTCATATAACAACAGATTTTTAACTATGAACTATTTACAATAGGCAATACTTTATGCCAAAATTTTGCCAGCATAGGGCAATTTCTTTGATCTTAACAGTGGGTTAATGATATCAATCTTAGTATCATCCTAAAATGATCTAATATTATAATCTTAAAATGAATATCAATCGAGGTTTGAACAATTATTTGAATTTCATGCTGATTCAATACTGAATTTATATACAAGAGCTGTGGAGCCAGCAGTTGGAATGTACGATTCCAATTATTGACTTTTTGGGGATCTCAACTTTAACATATACTTTTTTTTGACATCTTACAAGTTGTGTCTTTTGATATGATATATTAAGTTCTTTACATTAGAAAAATATCTTATGAAATTTAAAAAAAATTATCTTTACTTTTAGAGTTTCAATACAACGAAGCACTTTTGTACCAATTGTCAGAAATGGGTTTTCCTCTGGATGGTTGCAAAAGGGCCTTGTATGAAACACAAAATCTAGGTATTGGTGCTGCTATGAACTGGGTAATGGAGCACATGAATGATGAAGGTAAAATTTTAAATTTCTATTCATGCTGCTTTATGGTATTAACTCTTTAACGACCTAAGCAGATCAAAATTTACCACCGTTAACATCCTTAGTTTTTCAGAAGGGAAAAATTGCAAATGAGCTCTCCCATTTTGTTCTGAGTTTTAGTGGGTCGTTTGCTTTACAGCAGGTAAGCAAGTCCCCTCCATATCACTAATAAATCAAAGACGTGCTTTACCTGTCAGAGGAACTTTTTGGCATTTAAACTGAACCAAGAATTTGATTTTCCAACATTCCCTAGTTTTTTTCCCAAGAGAAAATTTTTTGAGGAATATATAAGCGCAAATGAAATAAATAATAAAAAAAAATTTTTTTTTTTTTCCTAATCTGCTTTTATTTGGGGTCATTAATTCTGAAAGCAAATTATTTTATATGTGAAATTTATTTTATTATTTAAAAAAAATACATATACATTATAAAAAAATTTATTATTATTATTATTTTTATTTTTATTATGTCTTATTTAAAAAGGTGTTGATCTGCAAAGTAACAAAATGTTTTTATTAGTTGTACATGAGTTAATAATAACTGAAATTAGACTTTTCTTTAGCTATATACTTCGAATAAATTTCTTGTAATATTGAAGCTTGATAGTGGGAATATGTGAAAATATGTTTGCAGTAAATAATTACTTTTATATTTCTTTAAACTGATTTCATGATTTAATTGAATGTTTAAAAAAATAAATTTTCAAATTCTCAAATATTTAGTTGTAATTGTTATCAGATATTCTAAAACTGGCAATTACTGTTTCTGAAAAATACTATATAAAACTGTTACAAATTGGTGAGCTCTAGTAAAAAGGAAATTTGAATATAGAAAGTAAATGTAGAAAAAGAAAACAGATGCTTAAAATGAGCAATGTGGTCAAAAATTAAAATTTTCAGTTAATATTACTAAATTTTCTCCAACATCAAGTTAGTTATTTATGATACAAGTTTATAAAATTTATTTGTACTTGTTTCGTCTTCCTTTAGAATTTATTTATTTTCATTTGAACCTGTACTTCATAGATTTTGAAGGTATGGTATAAGTCGTTAATTTTACTTTTTGCATATTTTGCCACAGTTTGAGAATTTTTTAAGTGAATTGAAACATTCTTGTACATTATTATAAAATTTATTTATCCAAAACTATTCCATCCAAATATAAATTTTTTTTTTAAGATTAATTATATAATAGCACTCTTTAAAATTTTTACATAATTTTGAAGAATCTAATTTTGAATAACAAAGTACAAAATTTGAAATAAATAGTTAAAATAGTTTTTGTAAAGTTAAATTTTAAGAAAGTTGTATATTTAAAATTTGATTTCTCAAGAACACCGGCAGATATTTTTTGAATTTCGTATTTTTTAAAATTACGTACTTATATTATTATTTCACATTATTTATATATTTTGATAGCAAATGTAATATCTTGTAGTTTTTTTTATAATCATGATTAAATTCTAATTGTCCCTGAAGGCCATATTTGTTCAAGAGAGAAAATTACAAAAAAAAAAAATTCTGAAGCAAATATGGAAAATTATAGTTAAGAGGAAATTAAAACTGATGCATGAATATGTTCGGTTAAAAGCTGAATATTAGATTCATTTCATTAACTTATTTTTAGTTGTCACTTTCTACTATGTTAATCATGCTACCTGAATATGTCTTTGCTATCAAATTGACAACAAAATACAGTTGGTGTGTACTAATACTAAGACTAAGCTGTCACAGATATATTTTAAACATTGTGGCAATATAGCCACAATTCAAAAATATTAATTCTGTTTTGAGACTATGAATAGTTGTTTAAAATAAACAAATTCCAAAATTGGTACATAAATGATCTATTTGAATTTAGATTTTGATGCTCCATTTCATTTACCTGGCACTAAACAGAGTAATCCTAATTTCAATGCTGATCCTGAAGCTATAGCAACTATAGTGTCCATGGGATTTACTCCTGCACAAGCTCTTAAAGCCTTAGAAGCAACGGTAAGAAGAAATTTTGGTTATTCAATGATTATTCAGATACTTTATTTATATTTTTGATGTACTACCTAACTTCATACAATTTTCCAATTTTTATTTTCTCATCTACTAATTCTTATTTTTTACTGGTTATTAGTAATTATTTTAAATGTTTCCTAAGTATTATGCACAATTCTAAAATTACTAAAACAATATGACTGCTCTTTTGGGAAGGAGGGAAAAATTTATTTTCAAGGCAATCAAGTCTAAAAATTCATAAAATATTCAAATGTTGTATGTTTTTAGCTGGAACAATTTTCCTCAAACTCTGATTATTAAAAGACCTAATTTCATGAAATTTTGTTACAAATTGTTTGAAAATTTACAAACCTTGCTCTAGAAAAAGATGCGATTTTCATTCAAAAGAAAGGAAAACAAAATTCTTTATGAAATTGTTTGTAAGTTTGACTGTTCTGAAAACTGCCAGTTTTATTTGCAACTTAAAATTAAATTAGTTTATTAACAAAATTTTTAAATCTCTACAAAATTGTTTTCTGCTATCAGCAATTAGACGACCATTATCTTGGAAATAGCTGCCAAGAAGTCAGATCCTAGTCTCCTAAAGGTACGATTCTGAAACAAGTTTCATTCCTTTGTAAATCCACACGGTTTTGTTAACTGTGTTTTCTACAGTTATTGTTATTGGTTTTCATACACTCCATGATTACCATTAAATCCTAGTTTTTGTAATATGAAAAAATTATGCCTCACAAATTGCACATTTGAGCTATCACTTTTGGACACTCTTGATTATCTAAGATTTTATCTTAAATCCACATTCTTTCTTATCATGTATTGCTACGAATTAAGACCAGACTTTTACTATCAAGCTTTTTATTAAATAAGGTATTATGGAAACACTCTAGTTTTGAAGGCACTGTGAATCTGAGAAAAGTGCAGATAAATTGAGTTTTATTTTTCAATTAAATTTGCATTATGTGTTACAGAAAGCAAATTACTCTTTAATTGTCTGATAATTTAAAATGAATTATTTCTGGCAATTTTATTTTCTAAGCAAACTGTTTATTAATTAAACTTTTCAATTTCTGACTGATTTTTGTAGAAAAATTGGTTTTTATTTTTTAAAAGATAGAATTGAACATTTATTTTTCATTTATTTATTATTATTATTCAGGGAAGACACTAGGCTTTCAAAATTTTTCCTTCAGATATCCTATTTCGAGCACTTGTCTTTATTCTTTTCATGGCTGAAAAGCCTCTCTCAGCATCAGCTGATGAAATTGGCAATACTGAGGCTATCTTTGCTAATTTAGAAAATTCTGGAAATTCATCACTATACTGTTTGATGAAGATTCTAAGAAAGTCTTTCATAGTCATAGATTTAAAGTTTAATACGATCTGTTTAAAATACTGAAAGTTATTTTTAAGTTTATCACCAGAAATCAGTTCTCCAAATGTTCTAATCAATAAATCAATATCTTCTGATCCATAATTCAGTAATTCCTCTGAATTCGTTGGATAATTAAACGGGTTTAACATTGAATCTAGTGATTTTAATACATCTAATGACTCCGCTGGAAAACAAAACTTTAAATTACCTACAACTTCAGATATAAAATTAGACTTAAAATGTTCATTTAAAGTTTGCTTTCCAAGTTTTATATTCTGATAAACAACATCATCTTCATCATTAGTACAATTTTCAATATAATTATTTTCATGCTCCCCCTTATTACCTTTAAGATTCTCTAAAACACTTATACAACTGGATACCATTACATTCACCTTAGAGAAAATCACATTTTGATGCTGAAATAATACATTTAATTTTTTTACTGGCTCTAAAACGTCCAGTATGATCGCAAGTAAAAATGGGAAATTGGCATTCTTTATTTTTGACAACAAACCTTTTGCTTTTACAGAGTTTAAATCGTTCTTTTTTTCGGCGATATGCTCAAGTGCCTCTACGATGGACCCAAAGCACTGTATTACAGCGCTCACCGCTTCATACAAGCTCAGCCATCGAACATTTTTGGGTTCTTTCAATTTTATTTCCGATATTTCATTTATATGAAAAATTTTACGTAGCACAGATTCTCTGACAGGACTATCATCGAAAAAATGGTAAAGTTGCTGCAAAGTATTCTCCAGGTCTTTAGTCTGTTTAATATTTTTCGCTGCTTGTGACAAGGCCCTGTGAGCAGAACAGTGAATTTGCAGCAAATGCGTTGCACCAGCAGTCTTTAATCGCACTCCAACACCTCCTTTACAGCCAGTCATTACATAATAATAACATTCACAAAAATAAAATGACATAATTCATTTCTTAGAGGAATAAAACTATTATAAGTTTTTTTAATCAATTATTTTATTTAAACAATCATTAAATGATGTAATCTACACAGAATCTATAAGCACTACAACGAAGATAAAAACGGTAAAACCATCAACCTATCAATAAATCCCACGAAACTAAAATTCAAACTTTTTATAGAGAAATCTTAGCTAGAATAATCATACGCATTACAGAGAAGAAAAGATGGCGAGATTCCATTCTTATTTAAGTATTATAAATGATCGGCCCCTTTAATGAATCCCACAAAAATGAAATTCAAAGTTTTTATAGAGAAATTTTAGCGAGAATGAAAATACAAATCACGTGTAAGACAAAATGGCGCAATTCCTTTATTTATTGTAAAAACGAATCCCACAAAATTAAAACTCAAAGTTTTATATAGAAATCGTAGCTATGAAATAAATACGCATTACAGCGGGGACAAAATGGCGCAATTCCATTATTTAATTATTCTAAACGATTTGCCCTTTTTAAAAAATCCCACAAAAAAAAATGCAAAGTTTTATAGCGAAATCGTAGGGAGAAAACAAATACGCATTACAGCAAAGACAAAATGGCACAATTCGATTCTTATTTATTGTAAACGACCGGCCCAATCAATAAACCGAACAAAAAAAAAACTCAAAAATTAATAAAGTTAGTTCCGATGACGTCACTGTTTTCAGCAGAGAAAAGAAGTTTGGGGGGAAAGTCTTGTAGGATGTTTCCTGCTATAATGGTCAACATTTTGAGTCATAGAACTGGTTTCCCACCTGTGTGTCTAACATGTGTTGGTCTAACTCTGGAGACAGGGTTTTTTTTATACCGAGGATGCATACCGATTTATTTTTTGCGTCCCAATTTTTCGATTTTATTAAAATGTTTCGATATCAAAGATTAAAAAGTCGGAAAATTTATAAACTTTCTTCAAAAATTTACGCGTCCCGCGGGACGCGTAGCGATCATTTTTTTGCGTCCGATTTCAATTTTTTGCGTATTTTACGCGCTATAGCGCGTAAATGTCTTCCATGAGTAGCTGGCTTAGACTCCTGTAATACTGCCGTATTCCAAGTAGTGGTAGGCACATCCGACTGGTCAATGACTCTTTGAGTCAATACGATCCTATGTTCCACTTTTGTTATTTCAGGAGGAAACAACCCTGCACCTTTAAAGCCATTCACAGCATGATCTTTCCGCACACTTTCAAACAGTTTTTTCAAAAGATGAGGAAACACAGCTTTGCAAACCTTCTGCCAGAGCTTATTCTAGGCAGAAAAAAGGGCATCATTATTCTAAAAAGGCAATAATTTCTGTCTATGGGGTCATGTACATTCTATTAAAAAAACGCAGTCAATTAGTAAAAGAAAAGAAAAAACTTTTTACTTCGCAAAAAATACCAAAGCAATAATATTATTTAAAAAATTTTATTAATAAATTNAATAAACAGAGCTCATTCTAGGCAGAAAAAAGGGCAGGGTGCAAAAGTTTAAAAAAAGGGCATCATTATTCTAAAAAGGCAATAATTTCTGTCTATGGGCTTTATACATTCTATTAAAAAAACGCAGTCAATTAGTAAAAGAAAAGAAAAAACTTTACTTCACAAAAAATACCAAAGCAATAATATTATTTAAAAATTTTTATTAATAAATTAACATATAAATCAAGTTAATGAGTTATTTAGCTTAATAATTTATTTAATATGCATGCATATATTAATAATAACAAATGTGTGCTTATAGTAATGAATTAATAATTAAAAGAATGCTTTTCAGCTCTTAATTTTATCATAGGTGCTTTAAGTAGCATAACAATATAATTAAAAATGCAGCATTTTATTCTTGTTTTCACAATCTCATACCTGCTAAGTTCAAATTATCTGGAGAATTTTTATTCATTTATTTATTTTTTTGCATGTTTAGAGTGGTGGTAAATTTTATATAATTTTATTATTGATTTATTAAATTTGATTAATGTTGATTTTATCCACCACTATATACAAGCGTTTTAAATATATATAAAATACCTTATCATGCACCCGATTAAAAAATTTCATTTTCTTCAAAAGTATACAAATAGAAAATAACAGTTGATGTGTTTCAAGTGCTCTAAAACAGACGCCCGTTTTTTTGCACTTTGAACATGTTGACTATTATTTCTTATTTATATATTTTTGAAGCGAATGAAGATTTTTGATCAGATAATATCTTACCATTTCAGCTTCTTATGATTATTTATTCATGTAGTGAATTGCCTAAGTGTTGCAAAATTAAACTAAATTAACCTTAAAATGTTATTTTGCTACTGCTTTAAATAGTGTGGGAAGCCATTTACTCCCATGTTAGCATCTATCTAATCTTGTTATTTATTTTTTTGCTTTTGTTTCAGCCTTAAAGTTGTGTTTATGTGTTAGTTATACGAACAATTTTGACTGCTGCCAGTAGTTCTAATTATAACAAGCTTTAACTCTATTTATTCTTAGAAATTTTTACTATTATTATTAATTGTAGGTAAAATCGAGTCTACATTGAAAGAGGAGCTTAAAAATATTCTGATTGCAATGGATATACAGGTAATTTTTTACCTGTTTACAATTGGTTAAATTAAAAAATTTATATTTATTTCTTCAAATTATTAATGCAAGGCTTCTGTTTTATTAGATTGATAATCCGGTTTTAGTTTTAACTCAGGATACAAGTCGCAATTTTCTAATGGCCAAAACAGGAAAAGAAGGAAAGTTGTTTGAAGTAATTATCGATTTTATTTATAAATCTTTTTTCTGCCTTAATTTTAAATATATATATTTACTTCAATCTAATTTTATTGAAGACAACAGTAATGCATGGAATGAATAGGTTTTAAGCCTTTTTAATAATCATTATTCAAGAATATTTTAATAATTTATTAAAAAAGATATTTCAACTTACACACCTCATACTCTCTATATTAAACACAAAAATTCTTCATCAATGTAATTATTTATTCCTGGCATTTAAATATTTATAACTAAATATTTGGTAACAATTATTAATGCAATCTGAATGATAGCAGAATTTTTCAGTTGACTAATAGCATAAATTTTTAGCATTGACTATTTAAAAATAAAATATCAGTAGTATAATTTAATAAAGTAAACAATAGGACGAAAAATTCAAATTCGAGAATTAATTAACCAGCTAATTGTGTAGGTGTATTGCTAATTCTTTTAATGAGTTGTAAATGCATAATAAAAGGCAGAAATCTATAATAGTTGTTGATTAA